TTTTAGACACAGCTTAAAATGACTACTATTTTGTCTTTCGTTACCAGTATTTGCATTACTAATTGCGCAGTGGGTTCAGCAATTTTTCCATTTGATTGGCAAAAATTAAAGAAGACATCAGTTTATATGACAACCATTAGAACTGAATTGAAGAAATATGGTCACTGAGGCATTATTTCCAAAACCTGGAATTCCAGTGCCCAAATTGCTCTTCGTACAATGTACTTATATGCTGCCACGCAGTGTTAGAGATTGCCTCTAAATCGTCTTCTGTACATTTTGGAGTCGAATGCATACATTCGTACCAAGTTGCAAAACCTCGGAGTACAACAACCCTTTGCTATTCCGCCCAAAGCATCATCGTAGATTTTTGGTGCACACTTTACCTTGGTGTCATATGGACGATCTGCTTAGACGGAATGCAAAAAGTTTTAATAATCCTGTAAATTTACCTCTTTGAACTCCTGGTTTGAGCCAAGTTTTAGATGTCATCGCTTCACAAAATATTTCGGAATTCGCATTTGTTTATTCATCGATCACACTGCAACCTTGACACTAAAAGTTGCCTTAACTGAATTTGGCAAACCGACTTCGACATTACCACAGGCACATTGAATGCTCCTGCAAATTCGGCGTGACATTTTTCAATTACCTCTGGTTTCGTTGGCCCACAAACCTCAGTGTACTTTTGCTGTGTCATGGTTGCCACCACTACGTACTCAAGCTAGAATATCAAAGTTGCCTGAGATTCAAACACTGCACCTGTGTGTGAGTCGAATATTAAGTAAGCATCTTTTCGCTTTACACCTCGTTTATCTGACAACGTGTTTCGCCACCAAATCATTTTGCACAGATAGCTTCAGACCACATAAAAATTACTTGTGTCAGTTTTACGTTTGTGAAAAGCAAGCAATGAAAAGTTTCATTTTTGAGAGAAAAATGAAAAAATATACCCAATTCAAGTTGGCTGTTAGAATTTTGCAAGGCAAATAATGGCATTCCAACTACTGTTCGCCAAAAGTCGTCCTATCTTGGCAAAATCAGAATGATTTCTTTAGCTATGATGACTCAAAGACATAGTTCTGTCTCAAGATGCGACTTTAATTAAAAGTTATATACTGAAACTGTCAGATAGTTTGACGCATTTTTATTATGGTTCCATGATTCAGAGTTAGTTACCACGTAAATTGGCAGACAACAAATGTGAGTAAAAGGTCCAATTTAGTCGTTTAATGGATAGTTATATTTTTCGGGGAATCTAAACTTCCTTTGAAGTCGACAGATTTTCCGATTTGCTTACGGGAGCCGTAGGAATTCCCGAAAACGCATTTCTGTAAAGTTAATTTACTTAAATTTATCTTTGTTTTTTTTCCATCCACTTTTGTTCACTGGTTCTAGCTTTCGAAATATTTTCTAACAGTATTTGCGGACTAAACCAAAAAATCGTGCAAGTCAGACCTTATTCCTAAATAAATTGTAATATCTAACGGGCTTATAGGTACAATCTATGTTGATATTTTGCGAAACTGAATTTCTCACATATTCGCTACTAAGTTGCACACAGCCTTTGATAAAATACATTTATGAGCATAATTGTGTGAACTTGGCTCAACTTTAAGCTCTAAACCTAGTAGTTTCCATCCATGTACTGCAGTTAGCCAAAGCTTTGTGAAACCAGGAACGCAAATGAAATATGGAGGGCCATTGATAGAACCCATTCGTAAGTTCGAGTTACAAGGTTAATTTAATGCTTTAGGACTTTGGTTCAAAAAATCGACTGATCTAAATGCACTTTGAGTCACTGTGTTGCAGTCAAAGCGCGTTTTGTTTCATTATGCTGGTGGTCTGCTGAACAGAAGATGAATCAGAACCCATGTAGTATCGGACGCAAACAAAGGCCTCTGCTTGAACTTAGTGAATAACACTTAGGCACAAATATAAGCAACACAGCAAACTAAATTAGGGCACAATCTACAATTTCAATTTTTTGTCTATAACTAAATTTGTAATCAAGGTTTGAGATCTAACCACGAATGTTTAGCAGTATCTGAGTCCAGTTGTGCTGATGCGTCAAACTGCGCATTTATTACCGATTTAAGGAAGTGAACCTAGGGAAAAAATCTAAGCATTGAAGCCCAAATCACTGTAAACGTTGGTAACTAAAGCTCTGTTGGCCTTTAATAATGCACTGCTTGATTCAAAACATCTCCAAAATGTTCCTGGATGCTTTAATTTGACGAAAATTTTGCTAAAGGAAAGGTTGCCAAAGGAGGCTTCATAACTAGGTGAACTAAGTAGACTATAAATCCTAACATCTTAGTATATTTGCACTATTTTAAAAGACAGGGCAATTTAATTTTCTTCTGTTCAAGATGGTTAATTTAATAATCCTGTGAAGTTCGACCTAGAGTGCCCATCGAAACGTTTTTATTAAAATTTTTCGAAACATTGCCCAACCGCAGTAAAATTTGTTAAAACTAATGGAACTTATTTGAACTACGAAATTTTGTGCATTTGGTAAGATCTTATGTTGACGACTTTCTAAGGCAAACATTTCTAGTGATAAATTATTGTGCTATATGTCTGCCTTTAGAGTCACTTAATTACAATTAATTTATTAATGACAAAATGGTCTTTAATGTATTTTCATCTCATGTTTGAACATTTCACATGCCTGTGCAAACGTCTTCAGTGATAGGGATCTTTTAATTTTTTTTAACAATTTGTACAATTTGAAATTTGTCTTTTTTTCTCAAACATCCCACAGAATGAAAATAGAAACATAATTCCATATTTTAGTTGCTCTCAACTGGCAAACCGCTTCTATTTTAAGGCATCTCAATTACCGACGACTAATCAATGTTTGATTGCGCCGAATTTTTGACAGATAAGGTCTTCTTCTACGTGGTCAGTGATGCAGCTGGAACACTGAAGCAAAAAGTCAACTTTTTTTATTTAAATACCAAAACGTTAGGGCTTTTCTAAACTGATTTTTAAATGCTATGAATTCGACAAGAAGATAATGATAGTATTTAAGGAATTTGGTGAAATTCACAGAGAATTTTACAAGGTTTTTAGTCAAGGTACACATTCCACAGCATTAATTTTATTTCACTATAGCACTTGGTAAAAGCCCCATATTGCAACTGGTTTACGTTTAATGACACCCACTACTCAAATTTATCGAAGCGTGGCAAATCGTCGTGCTCGAGCTTGCATGCCTTTTGCCCGTGCCAATGCCTCCTTTAGAATCTTTTTATTAACTGATAGGTACCCAAATTTGTCGCAAGTCAAAGATTTTAGAAAAAAGATTACTGGTCGGTGATCAGGGTCAATTTTTATGTTTAGGAATTAAGGTATTGCATTTCCGTCATGTAATGTAATATGAATTCAAAAGGTGAATTTATAACTAAAATAAAATAAATTCAAGTCTTTTGAATTTGATCATCCGCCTGCTCTAACGAGAGCTTAGAAGTAGACTAACTGGTTTTAAACAAATGAGCTTAATCTAACAGACAGACTTTATCCTGAGAGAACTTCTGGCATTAATATTGGCTGCCATAATCTATTTAGCAATAATCAACAGTTTGCTAGGGGGATTGTTGACAGACTTGGTGGCAACCTATCGACCTTCAACAAACCAAATGTTTCCTAGGGTATGGAAAGGTCCGTGCATATCACCATGCTGGGATAAGAGGCTAGAAGCATGGAAGCGAAAGCTCAGAATCAATTTCGGACTGAATTGCTGCATCCAGTACAACTGTTTCTGTGCACGATTTTCTTGTACGTGGCCTAAGAATATCTGCGGAGAAGTACTCTATGCAACCGACCCAATTTAAAGTTGAAATTCAAGCAAGACGTGCAAAGTTAATCATCTGGGAGATATCATTAATTACCATGACAACGCTAGACCACACGTCACTTAACAGACTTCAGTAATCGAGGGAACTTAAGTGGTGAATCCACCTGTGCCCCCCTTGCCCCATGTCTTAACCCTTAAGATTTTCATTTCCAACATATTTTAGGGGCAATATTTAATTCAATGAAGAAGTCAAAAATCACCTTCGATCTTTCTTTGAAGAGAAACCATGCAACTTCTGGAAAGCTTGGAAAACGCTGGAAGTAGTTATAGAAGGTGACGGTGAGCACATGTAGGCTTAATTAACACTCTTTTCTCACATTTGTCTAATTTAGCTTTAAATTTGGCACGAACGCTTGTAAAATGCAGTAATTAAAAAAGATACTATGATCTGTACAACCGGTACGACAACGAAAACGTGGTCCCTTATTTGTCAACACCTACTCTCTCAAGGTTACACTCGTCCCAGATATTTACGTAATTTTTCAAACGCTGTAAAACGAGTCGGGGTACTTAGCAATCAAGATGTGCATATGTGAAGGAGTCTGCACAGCAGTTTAGTGGATTTGTCCTAAGTTTTAAGAGTTCAATGGACGGAAATGCATGCTGGCTTGTTAAGTGGTGACAATCCTGAGTGCGGGGCGTAAGCCATCACAATTGACAACAAGTTGCGGACAGCAAATAAGATAGACCAAAAAACGTCCTTGCGTGACTGTTGGACAGTACGGAAACAGATTATTAGTAAAGTTTTAGGCCCTTTCTAGGATAAGACAAGTCCTTTTGGACCGTTTTGAACATAAAATAGATGCTTTTCTTCAACAAAAACAATAGTTCAGAATGGCCGTCCAGTTATCTGCTTGTATTGCCTGCAAATGGCTAGTACAACAGCTTTATTTATGGGAGATATGTAGATGTGTCAGGAGTCTGATAATGACGTTTGGTACCACGAAAAAATAGTTTAAAATCGTGACCAGTGGCATTCCACGGAGTTAACACATTCATCCATGAAAACTGAGTGCTTTTTCCCTTCCTCACTTTTGACAGCGCAACTTATGGTGGTAACTTGATTAAAAGTCTTTTGAATCATTCATGCCAATTTTAGGGCAGATTGAAAGCAATTTACATAATCATGTGGCCATGCTCAACTTCCTGTCTGTACTGTTGGGCATGGTTCTGAGGAGTTGGATTCGGCTGCTGGAGCCCTTGTTTGATTTGTGAGGATACTTTCAGCAAGTAGATAGGTGACATTAGCTTCTTCATCGTCTTCAGCTTCTTCTTCATCTTCAGTAGAAATTGCCGATTCGCTACTGCTATCTTCACTCCCATTGATTTCATGCTGACTCGATGGATCGCTTTTCTTCTTCTCATTCGTAACAAACAGAGATGGGTCCATCGCAAAAGCAAGAACCGCATGTAGGCTGTCTCTACATGTCAGCGCCTCCGCTGATATCCACTCTGAACACCCTCGGCTACTAGATATACTTCCAATGAGATAATTGTAATCATTTCCCAGCATTGTTGAAATGCGGTACCGATTTCGATTAGTAGTAGTATTTTCTGTTGTGTCAACGTCGGCGTCACTTTTGTCTAAAGCATTGTCCGCGTCGTCTATGAACCGATGCCAAGGATCAATTAGATCGACTCCTTCCTCACAATCATAGGAAGATTCGGTCTTGAGACTGATTAGGGAGAAGTATATTGGATTAACAATTAGATTCTGATCTGTAGTTACTTTTGATAAACATGGCCGCACAGTCGACTTCTGTATTTCAATTCTGTATGCAGCCTCACACGATGAGGCGGTGGACGTAGATGTGGATTCAGTAAGATGTATATCAAGTGTCATCTATTAAAGAGATGATAACCACCAGTAAAATTTTGGCAACTAAGTGTCCATTTTCTTAGAATTTTAAAAAAAGCTGAGGGGATAAAAAAAATCGAAAATTTACTGTTTAAAGTGTGCTGCTTTGCGAAAGTGGTATTTTAAATTAAACTCAAGGATTAAAGCGTTTCAATCATGAATTAAAATAAATTTTCGTTTGTATTCAATTTAGGGGATAAACAAATTTTACGGTAAGTTTTCCAGATTAAAAGTAAGGCTACGCAACTGAAATTTGCTCACAGGATTATTTTGAAAAGCTAATTTATAGTACGTTCGTAGATTTAAGCAAATATGCAATCAAGACTAATTGCCCTAGGAAATTTAATGGCCAAAAATGATTGGTTTTGAAACATGGGAAAACAGTTTTGTGTCACATGTGCTTGTCACGGTTTCAACAAGAAAGGCAAATTAAATCAGCAGGCATGGTCACTAGCTTACCCGCACCCAAAGTGAATGTTTACCTACTAAAGGTATGCATGCGATTGGGCTTTTGAATGTGACGTCCTTTTTTTGACCAGGAACTCGATCAAGGCTAATTGGAAGAAGGGCCATTCTCAGGCCACAGTGAAATCGTCTGCCGAATCTCAGCTGTTGCCTATCTTCCAGCATTTGCAGGAGACCCCGCCAGGGATGTAGACGAATGGCTACACCAGAAAAAATGTCATTCATCCGCTGACTAACTTCGTCAACAACGTCTGCGGTCCTTAGTTCCAGGGCTTCACAATGCGCCACATGGTCTTCTAGCTCGCATGAAAATCCCCTCCAGTCACAGCCGAGCCAAGCGTATTTACAACCTACTGGCCGGCGTCCGCACAAAACACGCTGGTGAACATCGATCAATTTTCTTGGACAGAGAGCCTCGCAGTGACGACATCTAACAGGAAGTTCTGCGGCCAACTTTTCAGCCAGCAAGCACCTCTGCATTCCACGTCCATCGCCAGAATTTCGTAGTGAAACACGACAAACTGGACACGAGCAAGATGCCTTACCGTCGCTTGTAGTAAATGAGACTTGTTCAAGTCGTGAGCAGCAAGGAATACAAATGAGGTGTCCATTAGCACACTGATTTGCTTGTTTGGCAAAATCAAAGCACACGTTGCACGTGAGAAGCTGCCTTAAAGAAAGAAGAGGGGCTAAGTTTGATCCCGATTCAACATTCCGTTCAAGTTCATCAGGTGGACTCAAGAGTGCTCGTTTTGCCGCTGGTTGCTCAGATACTGTTGAACTCTGTTCAGCAAAATGTGCAGCTGAACAGTTATTGACATTGGGCTTAAGGTCCTTGGGTTCGGACGAAAACGAAGACTGGAAGGTCCGTTTAAGGCTGCGCCACAGACGCATGAACAGCACGTTCCCCTCTACTCTCTGACCTTGATGAATCAATAAACTTGGTCAAGTGACTTCCACCATGGTCAGGTGATTCATGGTTTGCATCATGACCCCACAAAAGGCCATGTGAAATTGTATAATAAATTAGGAGCTTTCGAACGAAAATCCTTTTAAAACATAAGATGATCGCAAAAAGAATATTACGAACCATTATCGTTTTTAATGTACTTTAGCCTGTTAAGACAACGCGTTTAGGGACATCACTTTTACGCCCCTCTAAACTAAATTTTCATCCTAGACTGTTGAGCATAATGAAGTTATTGACTAAAGGGACCTCCACATAATTAACATTTATATACATTTATCGCAACAATCCTTTGCAAGACAAAGTGCCTTACGATGAAAAAGACCAATTTTGTAGGGATTAATGGCCGGATATAACATCTATCATTCGGTTTTTGCTCAATGAATCAAAAGGTGAGCAAATTTTCATAAGATTTTTAGGGTCGAGGGCGGTGACAGAATTTTCATTGGGATTAATTCCGTCTGACGAAATATGCCATTAGTGAATTTTGATGCCTCGTTTGCACAATGATTTCTGCAAATTTAAAACTGGGATTGTATTTTATTAAATCTGGAGGCCAATGCGTTCACTGCATAACCCTTAGTCCACGTAATCATTCCTCTCCTAAATGGGAAAATCCTATCAAAGTAAACACGATGTGGTAATCAAGGTGTTCCACATACTGGTCAAGTGCCTTTACAGTCCAGAAGGGGTTGCTGTTAAATAATTATCTGAATCAAACTTCATTAAATCTCTTCTAATAACATAAATTAACTAAAAAATGACATGTTGCAATGTCAAACTTAAAAAAAAATTGTTTCGATAGTGGTTAACCAGCACGAAAGTAAAATAACTATGGTAAATACAAAACTGTTAAATTTGTGCATATGTGGTGAATATTGCTAGCAAAATATTCAAATTGCGGTCCGCATTTCAGCTAATAATGTTTTTAATGAGACAGAGAAAACAAAAGCCTAAGAGCAAGGGACCAGAGATACAGGCACAATAAAGGAAATCATTTACAATTTATTTTGTGATTATGGTAAAGGATTAACCGTGGATGGCTTTGTCAATTGGCTACTCGCATCAACTTGTGCGTGACGCTAGTACAAGGTTAAAGGAGAATCTGTAAATTGCTGTTGTTTCGACAAAACCACCACGCTTAGGTGAATCACTTTCTCCACAATAAACGAACCACGCCTTTACAACTGCATAGTTTTAATGTTGAGTATGATATTATTCAGGCATCTAATCAATTCAAACCAAAAAAAATTTACGTGAAAAAAATGAAAAGCAAGAAAGCAGAAATTGCTGGTTTAAAATATCGCAAATGAAAAAAATTATTGAAAATGATCAAACCAGATGTAGATGTCCGCAATACCTATTTGGCTGTAATTCTAGTAAAATACGCATTAACTTGGGAACTCTGAATAAACTGCAAGGATAAACAAACTAAGAAAGTTACCAGAAGCTGCAATGGTGTAAAAAATGATGTGAAATTAGGTTGCAGATAGACTTCTGAGTCTGAAAATGTAAGCATGTCAGTTGCAACTATAGCTCAAAATGAGGGAGATTAGGTAAGCACCCATGGTGACAAGTGAATTTACAACTTTCCTAAATCTTTAGGTTTTCTTCAGTCCTCTGATTTATGCACTGCATCATCGAGTAGTTCTTACTTTTCGCGAGTGTCAAGGTAAATAGAAAATTAGGCATTAGATTTGACATTACTACTTGAGGAATAACAGTTATGCCACTGATGAACAGACAAAATTAAACGCTGGTAGGAATACAGAAAACCGTTTTGAAGTAGAAAGACAGTACTGCCAATTGGTGCCACTCTGAACTCGAATTATTACAGTAAAAAAGCAAAAGATGGTTAGGGTGGAAATTTGTGTTGAAGAAACTGCCAACTCCACATACATTCCCACACAAAATAAGTCATTCATGTCTTTTAGTAGCCGTATGCTACAATGTTTCTTGTTTAACGTAGCGTATTCGATAATGTTGGTACCTGATTCTTGAATTTCTTTGCGGCTTGATGCTGGGTTGCATTGTACCTAGAAGAAATACTTTATTCCAGTTTTAGCCCTTAGCGTATGACATTAACGTAGTTAATATCACGCTACAACATTTATGCATTGTTTGGTAAGGCAGGAACTAATTTTAATCAAAGCAATCAAATTTACGGATCTAATTTTTTTTCCTTGGCATTACTTCTTAACAAGTTTTTAGCAAGAACTTGAAAAACCAGACTTCCAGCCTCAAACTGAAAGTGGACGAACTATCATGAGAAAATCGTTATTCTTCCTTTTTCCCCAAGTCATTAAAAACATGAAGCAACATATACATTGTTGCCATGACGACAGTGTACGAGTCTGTAAAGGCCCATGAAATCACCTCCAGGTCATCAGATCCCCAAATGCGCATTCAAGAAAACCGACTGGCTCATGCACCTCATCTGCTCTCCTCCTAGGTTACCCAGGATCTGACGAACTCCACCTCCAAGCCTTCGGTCCTTAAATTCAAGTCATTTGCAACTCACCAACTGTGACGGACTAACGCAAGTTCTTAATCTTTAATTAGGGCCTAAGACAATAAATTCCCGTTTAGTATTAGCCGAAGATGATGTTCGGTGACCACTAATAAGTGCTGGCTTTCGTTCTCAGTTTAGTCTCCTGGTTAACGTCGACTAGCATAAGGTCAGTGTGCTAATTACTACTGTTTGCACAAAGAGGCTCTGTTTCAATTTATTTGAAATGACTTTGCTTAGCAAGCTAAAAAGAATAAGACAGCAAATGCAATGAACGCTTGTTACTGAAAGAAGAAAGCAAAGCACGTCTTGCTGAAGAATGATTTCCGAACTGTTGTCGTAGCGGTTCGACAACAATAGCTTGACTGTCACTTTGAGCTATTGCCGTTCTTTTTCCTAAAACTTCTTGCTCAGACCCGTTACAGCATATTCTCTAGATAACTGCTTACAATTTACCCTTCGGTTGAAGAATTCCTTTATCTGCGAGAAGTTTGTAAGTTTATCATTGTTACCGATTGTGAACCACTGATTCCTGCCACCCGTGAACCAAATGACTCGTGCTGCCAACCTGAAACAAGATACTTAGGCTCTTTTGAAACGCGTGACCCTTCGCGGTTGACCCACTCTCGAACACACATTTTCAACCATCCTTCAGTTGGCTGCAATGCAGATGAATAACGCAGAATAGGGGGAAGTTGCTTTGACAGACAAATCTGATCTCGTTTTCAGCAGTGGTGATAATGCTTTCACCTTGTCAGGCAACGATAATTTTGCATTTCCATTTTCCTTATCATTCTTGGCGTTTGATTGACCACACAAAGTTCATTCTTTCGATGCGGTTCGCTGTACCCTACCCTGGAAACTCTAGAGGAATAATACTAGTAGCGGATTTTTTCAAATCAATTCTTTTGCAAATCCAGGCACGATTGGTCATGTTTATCTTTCAGATTTAAGTTGCCATTTTTAAGTCGACTAAACCACCTTATAACTGTCCACAGAGCAGATAAAAAGTCCAACTAACTGTCTCAAAAATCTTCTGTTGCAATTTTAACACCTTATTAGACTTAAATTATGTACCAGGGCAAAAATGTGACCTTTCACTTAAATTTTGGAAACGATTTTTGAAATTTCGCAGAATCATCTTCCGGCACACGACACAATTTGATACCTGTCAAGTTACAAATGATTATAAATGAAGCATCAGCACATGGAAATGTGCACGCTTGACGTTTTGCAATCATCCACAAGCACCGAAAACTACATAAAATCCTTCAAGTGTGAAATGTTTCAAATTCTCTTTATACGGCCTCTTGCTCTGAATTCAGTGACTGATTAAACTCGATGCTATTGTTACTTCAAAGTAGTTAAAATGTTTCCGCTTACCACTGAATTTTTTCACATTTAAATGGCCAAGTAAGGTGACTTAATGACAACAAAGCAAATGATAAGTCTGGCTTTATGCTTGCTGAATCTTAATGCGAACGTTTGGATAAAAAACATTGCGGTCATGTTGAGAGTCCTTAATGAATAATTCGCTCCGCACCGCCATTCAGAAATAAATATTGTCATCTCTAGTTTGCTGTCATGACACGAGATCTAAGCTTTCATTTCAAAATACTTCTACTTTTAAATTAAGTAGCCAATGAGCCTTTGATTTTGGGATAAAAACGGTGCTGGATGATCCTGTCTCCTCACTGTCTGCTAAGGATGTGCAGTGAACTTACAAACGAAGCATGCCTATCGAGATCGTGGGAAAATTCAGCTTTAATTAACTTATTATTCGTCCTGTCGATATTTTGCGACTCATCCTTCAGTATTCCCTGACTTTTCTACAATCACTAAATACAGTAAAGAATAGACAATGCTGTTCTAAATCTCCAGCTTTACAAGTACTATCGGCGTTTTATTCACTGTTTTTTTGAAATAAGTTCAATAATGTAATGTGCGTGTAAGAAGTGGATCTTTGCTATGCTGTTAGGACCTAGCACGTTCGATTTTTTAGGCTTGTAAGTGATTAAAAGTGGTTAATCATTGCACGTTTAGTCCACCTACTAAATTTTTTTGGCATATTTTGTTCATATTAGGTACATTTAAAACTTTTTTGAGAGGACGCATGACCTTAACAACGATTTCATGGACACCTGCCAAATCAACTTTCATAAAGTGATTAAACTTCGAAACGTTTAATTATTTTTAATGCCCTGTTTGCCCTTTCAATTTAAGGGCAAGATGTGAGTGCCTGCAAAATATAATCTGTTTGTCATCGTGCGACATGCTTTCTTTTGTTTTAATTCATTGTTCATATTAACTATCTAAGTGCTGGTGAGTGGAATTCTGCGTTCACACCGTTTCAGATTTCTTATGCTTCCGATATTTGTTTTAACACCTTTAGTGCTCGATCAACAACTGTGCATTAGT